CTAACATTTGAAAGCTGCCCAGCCCACCCTCACCACCATCCCCCACTGGTCTCACCTGTCACTGCCCAGGGCAGACTCTGCTCACGCGCCCACCCACATGCAGGGACCCCAGAGCTCCGTTCAGCGTGTGATCCTGGCCCTTACCAGGTTTTTCGGAGAGACCTGGGTGGGTGTATGTCAGTGTGTGTGTGCATGTGCTTGCGTTTCTTTAGATAAATCCACAGTCACATGAAATCAGTGACAGGTTGACACCGTTATTTCAAGATACATCGCTCTGAGTTGCCAGCATAGGAGGCCTAGCCAACTCCTTCCCACCAACACCACTTTTTTTTCCAGGCATAATTTATAGCCAGGGGGTGAATTTGTTTCCAAAAGATGAATATCACACTATCAGCAACAGCTGTCTCTCATTTTTATTTGTTTTTAAATTTGACTCAAAGTCCAATTCTCTACACACATCCAAAGCTGTAAATCCTAAGGCGACTGATTACACGATTTAGTAAACAGGTTACATTATATAATGCAATTAAAGTGGGCTCCGCGGCGTCACCTACAGGCCGCCCGCGGGAAGGGCCTGAGCCGGAGACCAGCATTCTGGACCAAGCTCTCTAGGCTGAAGGAAAATAAACCGACTGCGCCAGGTTGAGGCAGTTGCTCCTGAGGGAGAAGTTGAAGCCAGCCTGGTTACTAATGCAGCCTTTTGGTCCCTCCTGCTGAGTTCATTGTGTTATTTCAGCCTCCTGCAAATCTGTCTAGACGTCAGAACCCAGCCTCAGGGTGGGGGAGGGGGAGTGGGGGAACGGGGGTACCCACCTGGGGGCTGAGAGGGCTCCAGCTCTCCTGCCTCAGGGGCCTCTGTCCCTCACTCTCAAGCTGCAGTCCAACAGTTTCCCATTCCATTCAGCTAAGCCTGAGTTCAGGGCTGTCTGTGGGCAAAGACTTCCAGAACGTTCTGGTGAGATCCCTCACTTTGCAGTCCGAGAGGGAAGGTGACTTGTACAAGCCACAAGGAAGTGGGGGAGCTGAGTGTGGATCCAGACATTCTGACCCTAAGCACAGGCCCAGATCAGGGGAGTTCACAGGTGAGGAAACTGAGGCCCAGACAGGGAATGGGACTTCTACAACCTCTACATGTAGTGAGGGAAGGAAAATAATGAAAACACTGCTAGTGGGTCGGAGGGCAGAAGAGAAGGGCTTTTCAGTGTCTCCTAGTGCCATGCTGGGGGGGAAGGCAAGAAAGGAGTGAGGGAGAGAGAAAGAGAAGGGAGGGAGGGAAGGAAGGCAGGAACAGAGGGAGGGAGGGGAAGCAGGGAAGGAGAGAGGGAGGGAAGTCAGGTGGCCCAGGCCCAGAGTTCCCTGCCCCATCCCTCTGCCCTAAACTATATTCTTCAGATGAATTAGACTCCAGGGCCTCAAGGATGCTAGCTTTTCCAGTGAGTTTGGTAAGAATGAGTCACATCTGAGAGAGGAGAGAGGACTTACTTCTTTAGGAATAAGACACTGGACCAGCAGGATGGGGGGG